TTGCAGTGTGGGTTGAGTCTCCGAGCGGGTGAATCTGATGACAAAGGCTACGTTTACACAGCAGGTAAAAGTGGCCCAAATCCGATCTTTTTCTTCATATGTGACACAGATGTGTGTCAGTGTGAACAGATAAACACACTGAATCTGACATTTTCGATTCCGACTTGAGACGCTTTCGTATGTGGTACTGAAATCCGATACGTATCCGATCTGCGGCAATGCGACTCAGTCTGAACAGCCAGATCGGAATTCATGCGACTTTTACGTCAGTCCAACTCGACATTCGTCATCATTTCGCGCTGCTGAGACTCAAACATTTAGTCTGATGTTTCTGTACCAAAAAATAGAGGAGACTCATCAAATCGCTCCAAGTTTGAAGAGGTTTCAAACGAAGCAGCTGAGCGCGGCCGGAGGAGACCCGAGGCTGCAGCGTCAGAGAACAGTTTAAAGAATCCGAGGACGCGAACCAAAGAAGTGGCCGTGGCCGAATAACGAGCCCGTTTTACAGCGAACTCGAACACATTCTGGGTGATGAGTCCAGCTGTCAACCACTGGAACTTCATAATTGCTCCTTTGATGCCGGTGAAGATGAAGCTGAACCTCCGGGAGCAACTGGCGTTCGCTGGTCATCATGACTGTTTACCTCTGGACGAGCCACGTGAAGCTCTGTTCTTTTGCGCATGCGGGTCGGTTTAGGAGCTGATCTGTTCAAACAGATCACATTTAAAAGATAATGTGAACAGCCAAACAGAAAAATCGGATTTAGTGAGAAAATCAGATTTGGGCCACTTTTACCTGCTGGGTAAACGCAGCCAAAGAGAATTCAAAGAGAACTGTTTTTGTGCCTGGGGGCGCTCCAGAGAACCGATCTCTGGCCCTCCTGATACGGTGGTCTTGGGTTCTCTTAATGTGACTGTTTCAACCTATCGTGTTACTTTCATTCTCAAGTTCTGTGGTTCCTCTCCGCTCAAATGTTTGAATCCAAAGAAAATGATAAATAGCAGCGAACAGGTGAAGCCTTTTTGACAACCTACACTCTTAAAAAGACGGTTCTTTAAGGGTTCTTTAGTCAAGAAAATGGATCTCTATAGAAGCACGAACACTCACAGAACCCTTTGCATGATTAAAGAGTTCTTCACATCATTCATTTTTTTTGGATTGAAGGAGAACGAATGTACTGCAGACAGTTCTACACAGAAGCCCTTTGATTAGGGTTCTACATAGCACCCAAAAAGGGTCCTTCTACTGTCACAAGCTTGACATCGCAACAATAGAAGAACCATTTTGGTTGCTATACAGAACCATTTTCAAACAGCTTCTATATAGAATCATCTACAGCACATTCTCCATCAATCTGAAGAACGTTTTTATGATGCAAAGAACCCTTTAAGCATGCAAATGGTTCTTTGAGTGTTCATGGTTCTATATAGAGCCATTGGTCACTTAAACCAGAATACCTTAAACCAAACTGATTAAGATATTAAAACAATTTACAGCTTCTTTCTTCTTATTTTAGGAAATCTTCAACAGTTTTCTCACCATATTGACAGACAGTTTTGCTTGATTCAGGGGTTTTTGTTTTTTTTTGCAGACTTGGCTATTTTTGAAAATAAAGACATGTTTTCAGCTGTACGTGTCTGAGCTGCTACATTCTCTCTCATTAAGCCTTACAAACACTCAAATATCATAATTAGTCGTACTGCAGATCCCCATCTGTCCTCCCACCGTTAGAAAAGCACTGAGCCACATCAGCCTCGTAGCTCCAGAGCTAAAACTGAAGAGCAAACTTCACCAAACACGTCTCATCTGACCGACCATGTTTGGGGTAAGTAAAGAAACCTGTAAATCTGGGGCCGAATTACCGAAACTTCCGCTCATTGCGTCTTAAGATCTGACAGGTTCGTATTACAGAAGCAAATCTGGTCTTGATTTAGGAATCTTATCTTAGCATCTTATCTCCAGTTAGGAAATCTTAACTCACTCAAAGTGAACAATCAACTGTCATGTCTGTTACCCAGCAACCGACCATGCACACACAGCTGAAACGTGAACACGTCATCAAAATAATCAAGTTACTGATGTAAAGAAGGTCAAACAAAACTAAAGTGTGATAAACTGTAGGTTGTGAATACTGTGAGAGCGCCCCCTGCTGTTTATCAGAGCGGCGCCGCTCCCCAGTTTCAGTCTCCATTTCCCAAACGCTTTAGCCGAGCGCGCTAACGTTACTCCTCCTAATAAACAGACACACGTTCAGCTCCGTCTCCTCATTATTCACCACCATCACTGTAATATTTCATCATCAACATTAACACACGAAGGTGATCAGAGGGGCGGTGGAGATCGAGTCTGCAGCGTCTGAGAGTTTTAAAACGCAGAGTTAGAAAAGAAAATCATCTCACAGTGAAAGCAGCGTTTTACAGTAGGAATAAATGGAGCTCATCATGCTGGTAGTGAACTATGCTGCTGACACAGCTGCCTAAAAACCATAGAAACGGACCTT